TATATATATATATATTAAATTAATGTACATACGTTAATATATGTTAATATAAATATTAATTTTTGATACATATAGTTAAAATATATATATAAAATTAATATACATAAAATATATAATTTAGAAGTTTTTTATATACGAGGTTTGTCCAAATTTAATTCTGCATAAAGAATGTGACACAAATTTTATTTGTTCGCAAACTTAATTTTCATATTAATATTTAAACATTTAATATTTTTCAAATGTTTAGAATATTCCGGAATATATGTGTGAAAATTTAATTGTTTACATTTAAATTTAAATGTAACTTTACATTATCTCTTGGTTAATCAACTCATCACAATTCTGACAAGATTTATTTTTCACGCGTCGAGTTAAAAAAATATTTTAAAACTGAAACTTATTGTAAAGCATATTAAATAACCAATCAATCCAGCAAGATGCTGACAGATTGATTGGTGAATAATAAACACGTTCATAATTAATTAATCACCGCGTGAAGAATTAATAATTCGTTACACCAGAAACGTCATTAAAAATTTACGTAAGGGAGAGAATTTGTGGAAAATTCACCGTTTTATTAATTACGGAATTAGTAGTTTTATTCATGTCGCGATGGATCTGGGACTTTCGTCATTTCGACTAAGCGCCGAACCAATCCGAAATCAGGTCGGCCAAGGAACAGGTGTTTAATCATCCCTGAGGATTCAGCTTATTGACTCGTCTACTCGACGAGTGGATACTTTCGGCCGGGATGGATGTTACCAACTTAGTCCCCGCTCTCGACCCTTATCAATTAGCGCGTATATAGGGGTTGCCTAAAATGTCGCTCGCGCCGCTGTTTGCGCGCCGGCAGCGTTTTGTCACGGAAAACAGAACGCGGAACGGACGCGTGTTTAGTCACTGTCGTGTCGCTGCGGCTAAACACGCTGATCCATCAAAATACCAGTTTCAGCCCCCAGAAGTACCGAGCTTCTCTCGGAACATCGCTCGTTCGTCGCATTGCTCGCGACGTCGCGCCTCGGCGAGCGCAACGAGTTCCCAAAGGCTACGCGTGACGTCACCTTTTCCATCGCTTTTTTTTCAAACAAACAATCCGATTTACGGGCCGTCATCGATGCCCGGCGAGATAATCGGCGGCGATGTGGAAAATAAATACACGCTCGAAATCAATGGGGAAACAAAAACGTTCCGAGCGAGACGTTAAAATAAATACGGGTTTAAATGAAATGTAAAATCTGCTGAATTAACGGCAAAAATTATTTATCGCGTGATGGAAACCAGTGACGCCACAGGTGGTTGATTAAATTTATATGCAATAAGCAAAATCCCTCCGCTTGTCTTGATTGTATTAATTGTTAGCAGAACTCTTCCACCATAGGTATTCCAGAAGCAATAACAATAAGTTGTCACATGCGAATTACGTTCGATCTACATGTAGTTTTCGTGTGCACAAGTGTGCACCCGCTTGCACATCGTTAATCATTGTTCTACAATCAAACGATCATCGACACGATGACGATTTTATATATCGATGTTTTACTAGAATTTTATTTTTCTAAAAACAAGATGATATATACTCTCGAATAAGTTAGTAATTCATTTACGAGCCCCTGGCCATTTTTTTTTAATCCTCATTATTTTTCGCAGTCTTTTAGCAAATTTCAAAATTCACATTAATTATTTTATAAATAATAATGACGTTAAAAATCTGATTTTTCGGAAATCTTTGGGAAGAGCCAAAATTCCATCATAGTTACATCAGAAGTCGACTTGCTAATTACGCAAACGTGAAATAAACGCGTCTCTCAGTCGTGGCAGCGGCAAAGCGTTCGTATTTCGATCGTCTTGAATTTCTGGTCGGAATCCTATGCTGCGATCAGCATCTGCAAGACGAGAGCCGTTTCATCGGCATTATTTGCCAAGGGCTGCTCTGCTTACATCATAATCATTCCAGCCGAGGAACGATATCAACGCGATGCTCATCCTTCTCTCATTTATATAGATCATCTTCATTCAAACAGCGATTGCCCTGATTAGCTTTCTTTAAGGTCCGCCAGAGACAGCATATTCGCGCTGTTTTCTTTCAGCTATTCCTCAAAGTTTCTTCAGAGACGTCATCCGCGACGTCTTCAGTGAAATCTTCAGTAAGACGCGAGTGCAAGACACTGAAGTTGCGCCGCGGAGTTTCAGAAAGGAAAGATCACCTCCTCGTCATTTTGTCCGACGACGACGACGACGACGACGACGTTCTCTTCGCGCATCGGACACTCGAGGGAGATGACTCGCCTGAAAAACGATCCGGCGTGCTAAGTACATTTTAGCGAAATGTACACAAATATTTAAGGTGCGGTGTCCTTTTCGCCGAGCGGATCCTCGGGAGATTAAAGTTAATCCCGCGAGGAGAGTCCGCCTTTTCGCCGGCCCGATCCACCGTGTATGTGTATCTGTGTGTACATTGGGATTAAAGTTTCTTTTCCGTTGTGGTGGTCTCTTTTGCGAGGAGAGTTTTCCTCTCGGAAAACTGTGAACACCGACGGTCGCGGAACGTCTGCGAACATGATCGAGGCTGCGGCGAATGATCGTGTTCGCCGAGTTACGCCGGATCGTATCGGCTTTGGCACCGCATGCGTCTCTCTCTCTCTCTCTCTCTCTCTCTCTCTCTCTCTGAAAAGTTTCTCAGAAGAAGTTATCGGAGAAAGGACGGCGGGATAATTCCATCAAAAAACGATAAATTTCGATTACATCGCTGCCTTCAGCGGCAGCGACAGCGGGTGAAACGCGGCGCAGCGATGATGTCGCGAATATCGAAAAACTTTAAATGGGATTAAGTCGCCGATGTTAATGCCTCGTGACGATATAACAGGACCAGAGAACAATTGTCCGTAATGATTTAACGCAGAAAATCAGCCACGGGGAATCTGTATAAAACGCGACGCGGACGCGAGTCAGTCGGCGAGTGAACAAACGCGGGGAACGCAAACCTTTCGTACGAAAGTGCAAAGTCCTTCGAGAGTCGGATACGATCGAATCGATTATCGATCCTGATAAATGTATCATCTCAATGAAGATTTATGCCCGGCTAAAATATTTCATGAAGACGCGATCGATTAACGCATTAACACGCCCGTGCATCAGCCCGTTCCGTCGTTCCTCGCGCCGCGGGGCGGGATGAATACCGCAATAAATTACTGCAAAACGCACCCCCTCAGCCTTCCCCCTTGCTCCTCTTGGCTGATGAATAACGCGCCGAAAGATAGCCCTCGTCTGAGGGCTATCTCGCGGTGGTTTCGTTGCCGTTGCTGGAAAACGACACACACGGAACTCGCGACGATGCAACCAACGGCGGTGTATCGCAGCAGCGTAACCAACATTCAGGTCACTCTCGTCCCCCCCCGCGTCCCTTCCCCACCCCTGTCCGTCCTTTCCACCCCTTGTCTGCGAAGGAACTTCAAAGGATCGATCTTGATTACCTTCCTCTGCTGACGGCGCTCGGCCCGGAATAATAAATTGCTCCGTCCTCACCTTTACGTGCTGACATTAATAATAATTGACAATTAATAATGAAAGAAGAATGCGTTGATGGTCGCGGGGGAAGGGGGGGAGGGGAGTGAATTAAAAAGAGCTATCCCCCCTTGCCTGTTCGCAGATGGCGGAGATGCGGGGACGTATAAATTGTACGCGATAAATAAACCGCGACACAAACTACTCGTAGAATTTAATTTTCAACGCTGTCCTTATACTGAAAACGACATCCCTCTACTCTTCTTGCTGGTGGAGACCGTTAGTTACGTCACTGATGCAGCGGATATAAACGTGCCTGCGGGATAAAATTAATGCGTTCGTGTTCGCTATAGCCCCTTCGGTTGCCAGGGAAATCAACCGTATATATCGCGGGGACGATCCGCCATCCCGTCGAGATTTCGTTAACTGTCCCCGATCTCGCGAGAATCGCGGAATCGCGGAATCTGCGAGCTGCAATTTTTCCTCGAGGTCGCGATTTTTCTCGTGGCTGATTGAATTTATCTTAGAAAAAGGCTGAACTTTCTCTGCGTAATGACGAACCGATCTTAAATCTCAAAGAAAGAGGGAGAGAGAGAGAGAGAGAGAGAGAGAGAGAGAGAGAAGAAGGTA